GAATCTCGGATTAAACGAGTATTAACAAGGCCCAATTTGGGCTCAAAAATTAAATTTTCTGTATCTGTTTCATAACGAAACTACATTTTAAAAGAAAAATGATCTAATAAGTTATTATAGTATGCAAAATTTATTAATAACAACTTAACTTTATTTTTAAACAACAAAAAAAAATAGTAGTGGACTATTTATTTGATAAAATAAGTTACATAATGGTATAATATAACATACAACAATCCCGCTTGTTTAAATGGCAAAAACATACTGACAAAGAATATTATATGTATATTATATATATATTTTAAATAAATCCTTATTTACAACATGCATTGAATAGGACTTTATTACAATTTACTTTCTTACAATTAGCGAAAAATGGCTTAGAACCTATCTATTGTCAAGCAATTCAAATATGATGACTTTGGATTTAGCATTTGGTTTATCATTATTTATCAGTATCGGCTAGGTAATTATTACGTAAAAGTGCAATAAATAATACGTTAAATAGTAACTTCACAAGGTTAAGGTTGTGCTTATAAACTTACTTCTTTAATAAGTACCTAAATTTGCAATAGTAAGTTATGTAGGTATACAATCGACAAATTCAAATAAACTTCACCGAGCTTCGCAACATATTTTATGTAGCAATATTTAAATCACAACCCTTTTAACTACTGTATTAAATTTATATTTAAATAATAAATATTGTATTACTCAATTTAGACAACGCAAAATAGTTACCCTTCGTCAATTCTAACGGGCGTGATTCTTGCAGAATGGTCGTCCACCTTTGGCAAAGAAGCTTTGGCCTTCCAAATTTTTCTTGCACATCTATGTCAAAGTGAAAAACGACGTAAGCAAATACATAAAAATAGGAACATAAGTTCTTGGCTAGCAGCTTATGAAAACTACCTGATGCAGATTATAATTTCCAACTTAGTAGTTGTCATGTGCACACCCGTAAGAAAAATTTCCGTTGAACTTCAATGGAAATCAATGGAAAATTTGTAAATTCCATTCAAAATCATTTCCATTTACAATAATTCCATTAATATTTACATAGGAAAATTTTCCATTGATTTTCAGTGGGAACCTAATTCATATTGTTTTTCATCGCAAAGCCTCATATTTCATCTTGATTAAGAAGAATGTCATTTAATTACCACTAACAATAATTAAAGGTAAAAAATAAAGAATTGTCACTAGGATTTCCATTGGGTTCAGGAATGGAAGTTCCAATGGAACGCAATGGAAATTCCAGTGTGTTCAGCGATGGAAATCCCATTGAGTTCGGTTAGAATACTAGTGGAAATCCCATTCATTCCATTGGCAATTCAAATTCAATTAAATGACATTTTTTTAATAGAAATAGAATGGAAATTGTTCCTACGGGTATCATAGACACTTTTGCTAAATCACTAATTAAAGTAGAAAAGGACCCGAGTAAAAATTATATAGAAAGTAAACGAAGTATAGCTTTTTAATTCTATATTACCTTAATCGAACATAGAAATTAGGCATTTTATGCAACACGACTGAAAAATTTGGAGAATATGTTGAATATATTTTTTTAACCATGTCTATCTAAAAGTATCTCCTACTTCTTTGAAAACTATTCAAAATTAACCAAATTCTTGAAATGTTTTGAACGAAACATAGCGTCTCTCAAAAGCTTTACATTGAATTTATTGGATTTTTAATACGGGCAGTGGTAAATTCGGCCGGTCATTACGACAGGTAGAAAAATTCATTAAGACAAAATGTAAATTCGGCCGCTCCCTTTAAATCTACCAATAATTGACCGGAAAAACCGCTTCTATATGTTTATTGGATTGAACACTTACCGTCCACATATTCCTTTAAGTACTTAGTCATGAAATAAAAGAAATATTTAACCACAATGAAACAAAGATTTATAAAAATTAAAATTATTATTCGAAAATAAAAAATTAGCAGCATTTTAGGGGCTAACCTGGAGCCAAAATGAAAAACTAAGGGCTCATAATTTCTCAAAATTATTCCTTATTCAATGTTGTTGAGCAAGCTTTTCGTAAAGAGCACAATTTCCTCAATACGTACCTATATTTATGAAAATAATTTTTTTATTGGAACAACCGGAACTCACTATTACTTAACCGCATATATGTATATTGTACACTATATCTGATCAGTATTCCGGAATATTTAAAGAGTAACACCTAGAGGCACTTTAGAGTAGGTGCCACAACGTAAGGGATGTAAAAAGTATGCCCAAAAAGTGCCTCAGTTAACGAGCCGTCAATGATTGAGAACAGTTGCCGCATTATTTTATCGACTTTTGACGAAACACACATACCTATTGATGACCTTCGCAAGCAACTGATACGTAGACAAGTCAGTTGTACGCAATGATTAGTAATAATCTGCAATCGTTAATATTTGGTTGGCAAAGTATTGCCACAAAGTACAAAAATAAGTTGAATGTGAAAATATCAAGTAAAAGTCAATATGACTGAGTGGTACGAGATGGTTCATTCTACTTCTTTTTCATGTACCTTCTCTTCCCTTAATTTTTGTGAGTTCTGATCAGACATAGTGTTCTGTTCAACATCTGGCTAAATAGTAATGTACACCTATTAGCTGGAAGTAGCCCTTAAAATTGCAGCCTAGAGTTTTGATATTCATTAATATACTGATTATCTAGCTTCCTGTGAAGCTTGCAGAACAACATCGAATAGGTATGGTATATCTTTAACAGTTTGAGCTCTTAATTCTTGAAGTTACCACCGAATTAACTCCTAAAAAGATACTAATTTTGGCATCTTCGAACTACGTTTCGGCCACTTAGTTGGGCGAACTTCAGGACCATAATCTTTAAAAAGTATTTAATCGTTTCGAGTTTTTGAAACAGTTCGTAAACCATAATAACTAGGGAATTGATTTTCATGGAATTATCTTATATTTTCTTATGTTCTTTGACTTAAGGTTACTTGACTTTCTCACCAGCCACAAAATACAAACATTTCTGTAAAATGATAATTAGGCGCCATTTATTACAAGCATCCTGAAGCGCTTTTCAACTTTATTATTTCCCGAAATGTAACGTATCTGTTAAGATTCGAAATGTAGAACTATTGACACCGAAACTTATAAAAAATAAAAGACTTACCGTGCAGTTGAAGCACTGACTATGATAGTTATTACTGAGTGCTTCAACCCATCTGTCACCAGCTTCAATTGGGAAACCGCAAGCAAAGCATTTAGTTGTAAATAGCTCGTTCCAATCTGTAAATAAATCATAAAATGGAAAGAAACGTGAATGACACAGTGTAAAAATAAATATTTTAATCAATACCGTTGTCACAGTAAGGTTGACCGTCTTCCAAAAAGAACGGATTGTTTCCAAACAGTTTTCCACAATGGACGCAATTGAAACATTCTGGATGGAAATGTTTTCCAATAGCTTTCAAGCATTCCTGAAAGAGAGTGATATCGCAATGAAACGATATCCAATAAGGATAAATAAAATAACTACACATTAAGTTATTGCAAAGTATACCTAATGGTAGATGCGATAAAATTTTTCGTGACTCTAGAAAATTATCTTTCATAGTCCAGTCATTTTAAGGAAGGCATAAGTACAAATTCATTTCTTTTTTTTCTTCTCTACTTTAGTGTTTTAAAACAAAAAAAAATTATAATTACTATTTTCGCGCCTGACTGAAATTCGACGATCTTGCAGCTTCAACTTTTGATACTTTAAAAGTTATCATCATCATCATAAAACCATCAGTCCCAAAACTAGTTGAACACGCATCTTCACTCTTTCCTATCCTGAACTAATCCTCGCATTTCCCTAAAACTACAATCTAATCCAGGTCTACCTCTACTCCTCTTAACTCCTGTTTCTGCCTCTAATATATCTCGGAACAGTTATCAGCATCATCATAAAACCATCAGTCCCAAAACTAGTTGAACACGCATCTTCACTCTTTCATATCCTGAACTAATCCTCGTATTGCCCTAAAACTACAATCTAATCCAGGTCTCCCTCTAGACCTCTTAACCCCTGTTTCTGCCTCTAGTATATCTCTGAACAGCTCTTCATGCCTGATTAGGTGTTTTAGTAACCTATCTCACCTATTTCTTATTGATTTCGATAGTTACCTCTTTTTTCCTATCCTCTCTAATACCATCTAATTTCTAACCTTCTTTAACCACGATATCTTTGTTATTTGCTTGTAACACTACATTTCGAACGCTTCTAATCTTTTTTTTCACTGTACCCACCGTCCATGTTACAACGCCGCGCTCGAAATTCATCAATCTCTTTCGAATTTCTAAATTAACCGTTCACGAGCATAGAAGCGACTTCCTTTTGTTGAAGACAACCCGCACCTTCGCTATTCTATGTTTTATATCTCTACTGTTCCTTCCATCCTGAGTTATCTGACTTCCCAGATACCAAAAATTAGTCACTTCTTCTAATTTCTCGCCTCCTAATTTTATATTCGTTGTAGCCCTTATTTTTCTCCCCTTGCGTTCCAGTATTTTTATTTTGCTTTAAACAATCACAAATATTTTCCAAACGATGGTACAGCGCCTTTCTGATTATATTCATATATACAATCTATTTCAATTTGTTAGAATTGTGACCTTGAAGAAATCTGCTCGAAGATAGAAAGAATACACACTAGGCGTGAGCGAGACAGAAATAGTTGGAACAAGCTTGAACGAGCAGAGCTCTCGATGGGCGGTCTTAGGAGATCGGCTAGAACTGTACAGTACTAGACGAAAATGTTTAGCAATTTCTTAAAACAAAAATGTATATAAATTAACAATAGAAAACAAAGCAAAAGTTTTATAGGTGT